CTACGGCAAGAGAGGGATACATGGGCAATAAAAGTAGCAATCCTGTTGATGATGATGATGATGGTGGTGATGAGGATGGATATGCATATCCTCCAGACATGCACCCTACGGAGAAAGAAGATTACCTTGCTGCCATTAGAGCGTCAAAGCAAGAAGAACAGTTTAGACAAGGAGGAGTTTACGGAATGGGAAGCAAACGATTTTCAGGGGGAGTAAGTGGTAGTAGTCAACCGCAATACCGTCGTACTCAAAGCCTTCAAGACCCACTCTGATCTCCTCCAGTACCAATGCCACACAAGAACACTAGAGCAAAACAGAGAATAATCAAAGGCATGATGAGAAACTCAGTAGAGGTACTTGGAAGATACTACAACAAATTCTTCATACTTGATAATGTGGCTCTTCAAAAAGCAAGTTCCCCTAATTTCAAGAACATGATTGTTGCAACCCAACAAGCAGGTTTTGCTTTATTCCTTATGACTTTCCTTTCTTGAACTTAAATATTCTAAACACACCAATTGCTAATATGAGTTCGATTATATTAGGTCAAGGCATAGCCACACCATCATCGTATGAAATAAAGCATAAGTACTTAGATATGGAACACACAGACATGCAAGCCTATGTGGAAAAGGTAAAGGAAGATTGGGGCGTGTATGGATGCAAGCCAACGAGGTTGTCCATAATAAATTTCATGGTCTACTCAAACAGGAAAACAATTTTTTTGAAATCAGTGGATGCTTCAGATAAAACCAAGGATGCAAAGTACTTCGCCAAATTGTTGAAGGATGTCATCAAAGAGGTTGGGCCGTCGAATGTTGTTCATATTGTCACCGACAATGGTTCAGCCTTTGTTAAGGCTGGAGAGATGATGATGGAGTGGTACCCCATTTATTGGACTCTTTGTGCTGCACATTGCATTGATCTAATATTTGAAGATATTGGGAAGCAAGAGTCTGTGGCTAATGTCATAAATAAAGCTAGGAAATTAACCAACTACATTTACAATCATGGTTGGCTATTGGCTCAGATGAGGATCTTCTGTCAAGGAGATTTGGTCTGACCCGGTGCAACTCGGTTTGCGACAAACTACATCACCATCAATAGCATCTTAAATAAGAAAGCTGGGCTGAGGCAACTTTTTACAAGTGAGGAATGGTATAATAGTCGATTCAGTGAATCAGAAGAGGGGAAGAGAATTGAAAGTCGAGTACTTGATCATAGATTATGGGATACCATGGAAGGAGTGCAATCCATCTATAAGCTTTTGTATAGCATCCTGCGAATTGTTGACACAGTGGTAGTTCCGACCATGCCTATCTTATATGATATGTTTCACATAATGAAAGAGAAGATTTCTAAGTTGAAGGGAAAAAAATGGATTCTCAAAATCATCAATCACAGATGGGATGTCACATTATCTCGTCCATTACATCAAGCTGGTATGTTTTAATCTTTTAGTAAAAACGTGCATCAATTTTTAAATTTATACAACGGGCATTAACTAATCTTCATATTTGTAGCCCACTACTTGAACCCTAGATATCAATATGAAACAGGGGTTGGCCACAATAAAGAGTTACTTTGAAAGGTTGAATCCAATTGGGGATAGAGGTTTGCAAGCATTTGGGGCCGAGGTAAGTGAACACAAAACAATGTCTTCCTCATTAAGTTTAGTTTTATGCATATTGAACACAAAACATTGTGAATCCAGCTGATAAATTTTAAAGACTGTAGAAAGACGTTTCGCACTGAGATGGCTGTCAAATCAAGAAAATTGATCCCTCCAGCAGAATGGTGGAATCTTCATGGTGATTCTGCCCTGAACTTGTAAAAAATTGCTATGCGTATATTGTCACAGACAGCATCATCATCGGC